CAAACACTTGTCAAACAGCAGAAACATTAAACAAATCTGAGGTAGAGAGTATTCAAGTCTTTTTTATGTCAAAATATGCATGAGTAAAATTTACAAAATAAATATCTTAATAGAAAAATTAAATACTGCAGTGTGATAAAGTTGAATGACCGTTTCTGTCAACGATGTCATCATCCTTCGAGCTGGTCATTGGCAGCACTACATTTGCTTCAGTGTCGCTCATTTCTCCACTCTAACTATAATCCTGTCAGCCACCACCGTGTGGGTAAACAACACCACGATAGCTGCCCGGTCTGCAACACACACGCACACTCGCGTGGTATTTTGTTCGCAAAGCATAAACATATATCGAACATTTATCGAACTTTTGTTAAAATTATATCGAGGAAAATTATATCGCGATAATTATCATTATCGAATTATCGCCCTGCACTATTTTTAATTATTGAATATTATAGCCTTCTGTCATGTTCTTGAAAGTCTTGTATGTGTTTTCTAAAAATATTGCATTGTGGACTGTGTCTCCACTCATCCCACACTGCAGCATGATGTTTATTTTCTTTATTCCCTCACTCTCAGGATTAACATTTCTTCACATGAAAAAGGATAATGCCAGGTTCAAGATTAAAGGCTGAGTAAACATACCTGTAAAGGAGTTTTCATCTTCTGTTATTGCTTCTTGGAGGAAGGAATGATTTACTGTTCCCTGCCCATCTATAGGTTTTTGACTTACTATTGTTATTTCATGGAGACATAAAAATATTATTTTTATTAACAATTAGTTAATTCTAAGCAGTTGACATCTGGACTTGACAAGGCTGGATATTGTATGCTTTCATCTGCTGCAAAGGGGGGATAGAAGTTCAATTAGTATGTATGGAGAGGGAGAGTACTGTGTTTTGCAGCCCTAGTTTGTTGACAATGCAAAATGCCATGGTGATTCATGTATACTTCCAGTTAGCATACTCTAATGTTATACAAGAGCCTTTTACACATCCCTTTTATATATTATATAAACATAGTCCAAGATATCTTTACTTCCTTTTTGTTCTCTTGTTTGCTGCTGTATACTTCTAAAATGCCACAAAGCAGCCTGTTTGCTTTCTGACACAAATTTCATCTTACTTTTCCCTTGGATAGACAGTGTGTTATATAATTTTCAACTGTTTTATTCTATTTTGTTTACTTTCAAGTACTGTATTACCGTGAAGTGCAAGAGAACATGTCAAGAACATTTTTCATTGCCTGAATCTTTCTCCATTGAAGTGGTGGCGCTTCATAGAAAAAAAGTGACTTTCTGTCTCTTTAGAGTGAGTTAATGTTTATAATAAATGTCATTATGCAGGTAGCCATCTGTAAATGTTTTAATATAACACGAAGTTCCTCCAGAAAACCTCTGTGCTAAGTATAATTTGATTATGCTGTACATTCATTATTGGTAAACAGTTTGACCTACAGTAGGTGTTCTGTGATAACACTCAGTTCTGCAATTATGGAGAAGCCTTCAGTAGACATACAAGTGTGTGTTTTGAAGCTTATAGAGCCTTATAGACATTGTTCAAGAGAATCTCTCATCGAACCAGATGATTCCTCTTAGTTTGCATTTGTAGTATTCCAGTAGAATTCCAAAATAAGATTTTCTTTCACTGCATTGGTAGATCAAAGAGTCAAACTGTGCTGCTCAGATGGAATGTGCGGATCTGCCATTGTCTGGCAGCAGCAACAGTGTCTCACAGAGGGGTGATGCTGCTGAACAAAACAGAAACCTTTCTACTCCATCTTTGACTTTAACAAGTTGTTCTGGCACTGTCATATCACTACATGTTTTTCAAAGTGCAGGAAAATGTGGGTCACTTGATCTAATTATTTAGCCTAAATGTGCAGTTGATGGCAGATTAATGAGCAATGTAGTTTCATAAGATCTGAGACCTGTTTGTCAAACCTGTCCTTTCTGGAAGACCCCATAGGAGAGTTCCAAGTGAGTTCAGGGAGAAATATATAGCAACCCTATCTGACCCTTATAGTTTTAGTTCCCCATATCCATAGTTTATCATAAATAACAGAGCTTTCCAGAACTTGCTATGATATAATACAGTTTATTTGTTAACGTGTTATAATTTACAGATATCATCATCAGATTGTCCGTCCATCCATTTATTTTATAACAACTTTATCAAATGCAGATTCATGGAGGATCCAGAGCCTTTCTGGACAAGCAGCAGACGCAAGGCAAATATGGACACACTCACACTTGGGCTAGTTTTACCAATTAACCTGCCAGTATGTCTTTGGACTGTGAAAGGAAACCACATAAACACGGAGAGAACATACAAACACCACACAGATAGCACTCCAGGTCTGGAATTGAACCCAGGGCCCCAGCACTGCAAGACAGCAATGCTAACCAGTGTGCCACCTGTAATTCTTCATCCTAGTGTTAATCCCGCATCGGCCGGGTCTGCTTGTCGGCACGCCCGTCTCCATTTGGCGTGGTCATAGGTGTCTTCCGGGGCGACATTCACTTTCCGCATGTCTTTAGTGATCCGATCTATCCACCACTTCTTGGGCCGCCCTCGCGGCCGCCAACCCTGCGGGCTCAATCGCATCACTGTCCGTGCCACCGTGTGCTCGCCACTTCCCATCACACGTCCATACCATCGCAGTCTTCCTTCTCGCATCTTCTCCGTCATTGGTGCCACTCCCATGCGTCGATGGATATCGTCATTGAGGACGTGGTCAAATCTTGTTAGGCCGAGACTGTGCCACCCGTAATTAGTTATAATAAATAATCAATAATGTAAAATGCAGTGTTGCTAAATTTGTTTATTTCCTGTATTTCTTTTGGAATTAAACTGCATATAGGATCCGCATAAAAAACTGCATTTTACTATGAACACAGGGCTTCATAGCAGAGAATAACTGCACTACCCAAGACTAATGGCAAATAATTATTCTCTCCATTTTTAATTTATACATTTAAACTTCGGTTAGGGTATATGATTTTACAGATTAACATAGGTGATATTGTTAAATGTTTTACCACTCTGAATACAAACTTTCTTTGGTGTTCAATTATTTTTATTGAGTATGACTGAAGTATGACAAGTTGTGCCTGGTGGGTGTTTTTAGTTTTGTGATGTAGAGGTCTGTTAGCCTTAAACAATAGTTTTGTCATTGATGTTTCTTCTGTGTTTATTTAAGTCTCATTCATCTAAGCAAACAGAAGCTCAAATGTCCTACTGAATTAATTGGGTGAAGATAAAGTATAGTACTTACAGGTTTTAGAATAATTATGGTAACAGAAATAAAGTTATGTGTAAATATGTGTCATACATTTTTCTTGTCTAAAAATGAATTGTTGTATTGTATTGTATTACACTGTCAGGTAACCAAAGGGAAAGTTTTAAATATTAAGGCCCATGTAGGTACAGACAACAACACCTTTGTAGAGCTTTAAATGTAGTAGAATGTGGCACCAGGGAAGGAATTTTCCATACAGAAATAAATGTTTAAGTAGTTTAATCTTATCAACGGGTTACCTTCACATTTCATCCAGTGCAGTAAAACCAGTACCAATGGTGCCTCATAACCAATGACATTGCAGTATACCAATACATGCTGTATTGTATCATATTTAGTTTTCATTAGCACACAAATGATAATAAAATCAAAATATAATTACATTATTATTATTTATCATTATATATATAATACTTAACTGATATATCAAAGCCACAATTTTTTATCATATAATACTAGGGGACAGTTTTCAGAAGGAGGAATATGTGACCAGATGTACTGTAGCTGCCTGGGTGTATTTTGTCCTCTGTTGTCTGAGAAAATGTAGGTGTGGTTGAGAACCTGTGTGCTAGAATCTGCACTGCATCAGTTAGGGCATTCCGTTGCCAGAACAGGACCAGTTCCTCTCTAGGAGCAGCATTCCATTTTAAAAGTGATTTATTTAAAAGTGTCTGAAACAATGCATTTCTTTGCTAGACTGGTGCTGTCGCCCCAAACTAGCCTTAAAAAACAAAAAGAAAAGTCTAGTTGTATAATAACCAAACATTTGACAATGAATCCACATTGAGAAACTTAAATTGCTAGTCCTGTTGGCATGCTTTTTATTTGCCATTTTCTATTACTGCTCACCCACATTCATTTATCGTTTCATAAGTCATTGAAAGTTAAATGTGAACTGTGTAATTTACAACCCGAAAAATTAATACAGTTGTGTGATTTATAAAATCAATCGTGTGCATTGTTAGGACTAAAATGTTAGCAGTTGCATCATTGATTATGGGTTACACAGTATCTCTGAGGTTAGCATTGCAGCTGTGTAGCACTGAGACCCTGGGTTCAATTTCTGGGATGCTATCTGGGTGAAGTTAGCATGTTCTCTCCATGTTCACATGGATGTCCTCCCACAGTCCAAAAGCATGCTGGTAGGTTAATTAATGTAAAACTAAGCCCCGGTCAAAGTGTGTCTGTGTGTGCCTTGCAATGGACTGACATCTCAGCCATGTCACCTTGCTGCTGTTCACAACTTGTAACCCACTGAAGCTAGGCAGGCATGAACCTGGTCAGTACCTGGGTGGGAGACCTCCTGGGAAAAACTAAGGTTGCTGCTAGAAGTGGTGTTAGTGGGGCCAGCGGGGGGCACCCACCCTGTGCTCTATGTGGATCCTAATGCCCCAGGATAGTGATGGGGACTCTATACTGCAAAAAAAGTGCTTTTAGTGGAGTGTCCAGAAAAGTGCTATATAAGTGTAAGGAATTATTATTATGTGGGGTACATCCTGTGTTGTGCCCAATGATTCCCAATGTTATGCTCTGGGCCACCATGATCCTGAATTGGATAAGCAGTTATTGAAAGCAATTATCATACATTTGGCACACAGCTGTACTGTGACATTATAATTAATCATTAATCAAATAAGTAATTTTATTTTCAAAAGAATGCTTTGTATTTCAGCCAGTAACTCACTTTTGTCTCTTTTCAGGTATTGGCAAGAATGTAATCTGTGACCGAACTGCTACCCCCTTGGATGCTTTCCGAATGATGTCGGCTGCCCACTATTACCCTAAGCTAATGAGTATTATGGGAAATGTGTTGCGCTTTCTGCCGGCTTTTGTAAAGATGAAGGAGCTACTGGAGGAGGGCTATGTGGGTGAACTCCTGGTGTGTGAAGCCCAGGTACATGGTGGAAGTCTGCTGGGAAAGAAGTATAACTGGAGCTGCGATGATCTGATGGGAGGCGGAGGGTTGCATTCAGTAGGCAGCTACATCATTGACCTACTGACCTTTCTCACAGGGCAGAAGGCCGCCAAGGTGCACGGCTTCCTCAAAACCTTCGTCAAGCAGACTGATCACATCAAGGGCATACGACAGATTACTAGTGATGACTTCTGCACCTTCCAGATGGTCTTGGAAAGGGGTGCCTGCTGCACGGTCACTTTAAACTTCAACGTGCCAGGGGAGTTCAGGCAGGAGGTAATTGTGGTGGGCTCTGTGGGGAGGCTGACTGTCAGTGGCACTGACCTGTATGGCCAGAAGAATGACGCTCCAAACAGGGAACTACTTTTGAAAGACTGTACCCCAATGGGCAATGCCTCTTTGCCTGAGAAGGCCTTCAGTGACATCCCTTCTCCATACCTCACTGGTACCATACGGATGGTCCAAGCTGTGCGGCAGGCCTTTGAGGACCAGGACGATCAGCGCACTTGGGATGGGAGACCACTGACTATGGCAGCCACTTTTGAGGATTGCCTCTATGCCCTTTGTGTGGTGGACACCATCAAGAAGTCCAGCCAGTCCGGGGAATGGCAGAACATCGTCGTCATGACAGAGGAGCCAGAGCTGAGCCCAGCCTACTTGATCAGTGAAGCAATGCGACGCAGCCGAATGTCTCTGTATTGCTAGCAAAGCAAGATGAATTCATGGACAGCCCCGTTCAGTGTGCTAACAATGAATGTGAACACACCACTTGAAATTGCATGGAGAAGGTTTGCGAATAGAGCATGGCGAACCATCTCCATAGTATGCAAGAGTTCTGAAAGTCCTACAGTTATTGCATATGGTGAGTTTGCCAGAGAAAGCTTCACAGCATCCATAGAAGCAGGTCTAACTTCTGATCTTGAATGTTGAGGACTAGTGTGAAGAATGTATTGCATGTACAAGTAGCAAATTAAAAGAGCAATACTAGCTTTATGTCTCTGAATTACCTATGTTACCTGTGTCCTTCATTCATGCATTGACACTGAAAACACCTTAACACCTAGTTTGGCTAGCAAGATCTACATAAAAAGAACCTTCTTGTTATTTATGCAATAAATCCTTCTAGTAACCCTAGTGGTATAGTGGAATTATGTTATAATGCCTAAAACAAATTAAGAACTTGAACAGTTTTTTTTTTCTGTCAAATTTGGTATTGTTGAAAAGTTTATGTGTATTTAAATGCAATATATGGAATGTTGTAACCTAATGTTAATGCATTTTTGTGCTGTGTGCCATAGAGACATGTTATCCTTTTAGATTTTTTAGATTTTTTTTATAAAATCTAAAATCTAAAAATCACATCTTGGATCTTGTCTGCTTTCATTTTCATATGTAAAAGGCAGTTTCCTTAGCATATTAGAATGGATGGGGGCTTCACTGTCATGTATAGTACAGTACATATTGAGCTGGAATCCTCTGAGAGCAGAGCAATCCTACAGCTTGAAGGCAGCCAGAAAGACCAAGACTGTGCCACATGCCAGCAGTGTCTGGGAGTGACAGAACAAATCACACCAGGACTGGATGAGGCGTACCTGGGTTGTTGTATTAATCTTCGTGTTGCTGTGGACAGCCATTGCTGTAGAAAGGAGGAGTGCCTGTCTATGGTTGAGGATGGCTCCAGATCTGCAGTTAAAAAGCTGACAGGACCAGGCTGCATGAGTACATACAGCTTTTTTGTATTCTAAGTTATTAATACAGTTAATTATGTAGGAACAACAGGTACTTTTATAACTTACTGTAAATTATTAGGAAAATCAAAGGGTGTTTGGTATTATAGTATTTTTGTGTTCCATGGAACAGGTCTCATTTTTTTTAAACCTTTCCTTGACCTACAAACCAAAAACATTTTTATTGTTTTTCCCCAGTTTTTTCAGTAATGACCTATTGCTATTTTCCAGGTATACAGTCTGCATGTCTGCATTGTTTCAAGGTTTATTTCTTATTCCAAACTAATGTTGAATAATGTAAGCTTTTTGAATGTTTAGATTTTAATTATTTTCCTAAAAGCACCAGATGAAATTGACAATGGTGCAGAACAACATTTTCATTTATTAATAATAATCGTAATAATTCCTTACACTTATATAGCGCTTTTCTGGACACTCCACTCAAAGTGCTTTACAGGTAATGGGGACTCTCCTCCACCACCACTAACAATGTTCAGCCCCACCTGGATGATGCGACGGCAGCCATAGTGCACCAGAACGCTCACCACACATCAGCTATCAGTGGGGAGAAGAGCAGAGTAATGAAGCCAATTCATAGATGGGGATTATTAGGAGGCCATGATTGGTAAAGGCTAATGGGAAATTTGGCCAGGATGCTGGGGTTTTTATACTATTTTTATGTAATGGTGAATATGATGATCAGTGTTTGAGCCAAGCATGCTCTTGCATTTCTTTGTACTTTGCCTATTTTTGTAAGGAGAAATGACCTGTAAAGATGTGTTTTTTTATATTTCTGTTATTCAGAAGTTGATTAGATTTTCATTTAAAAAATGTTTGCATAGAATTTTATTGTATTTCCATTTTAAATCAATAGGAGTCAGTAATAAGTTGTGTGCCATGCTGCTTTTACTTTCAAATATTAATGTGTGGCCCATTCAAAAACATTTCTTAAGTTTGGGAAATTGTGTAATAGTCACCAGGTGAGTCAGTTTGATTTGAAATGTGTCCAGGTTTAAAAACTGCTGGTTTAAAAACTTTGGTGCTGTAGAAAGTAGCTGCACAGTAGAACTACTATGAGAAACATGCTGCACATAGTCGCTGTCCTATACCAAACTGGTGATAGAAGTCTACAGTACATCTCTTCGTTGAGCATTCAGCACTTATTTATAATGAACATCTATAGTTTTTTTATTATAATTTTAATAATGTTCTCTGTTACTGTGAAAAATAGATTTAAAATAGTTTTTTATTGTCTCAAAAGTATTTCCACAGGTCTTACGTATTTGATCGAGTGACAGGAAAGCAAGATATGTATTTCTCACAGAAATGTTCATGTAAGACAGTAATCATCCCTTCCATGACATCATTTTTCACTACTTCAGATTTAATGTTTTCAGTATGGAATTAACCTCTGCTTGTTCTTTTGCACCCCGCCCACTCACACAGCTCCCCACTCCATAAGTACTATGTTTGTGTCTAGATCTTTTAGCAGGGAATTGAACGGTTGTTAGACTTGTTGTGCCTTTCCAGAGATTTCTTTTTTAACCCCTGTTACCCTGGTTTATAAATTGAGTAAATCATACTTTTGTTGAACTTATTATTTCTGTTGTTATCTTGTGTCCACAGCCAGGATAGTTGTAGTTCTTTGGCAGACATACTCTTCATAAGATCTTGTTAGCTTATCTGTTCTATCTACATGGAGCTTGTTTGTTCTCCCTTTTGGAAAGATTGGCCTTTTTGGTGTCTGCCTGCCCTACAATAGACTGGTGTCCTGTCCAGGGTGTACCCTGCCTTGCACCTGTTGCTTGCTGGGATAGTCACCGGCACCCCTATGACCTTGATTTGGCAGAAGCAGTTAGAAAATTAAATGATGGACTAGCAGTAAAGAGTGTTACTTTCAGTGGAAATCCCTGATTTCCTTACATTGAATTGGTGAATTGGCCTTTTTTACTTTTGGAGAACTGCACTAGTGAAGCCAGCAACAGTTTAGGCATGTTTGTGCTGCAGGTAATATAAGTCTCCTTATATACATATAGAAAGTATCTTTTTTAAGTGGAAAACAAAATAATTGTAGGCTAAATAATTGCGTCCCCTAAAGTTTATATGCATGGAGCCTGTTTTGATATGTGATATAAGTTTAATATGTGATAAAATGCCTTTCTTTCAGTCTTTTCAGCTGTGTTAATGTTAGACTTCAGAGTAATTTTTAAGTAGTCTTAGAATTTAATGTACAAATAAAAAATACATTGAAATAAGCAAGAACTTATTGGCTGTTGCTACATGGAGATGGGTTTACATCTGTTGTCCTTGTTTTGTACTTAGAACAGTGTGTGATTTGTAGGGAGTGTCTGTGTTAATTATCTATCTACTGTATGTGATAGAGAACTAGCTACTAAAACAGGCCCTCTGTTAAATTAACTGTTATTATTCATGTACCATTGCCTATAACTATGTAAGGTCTTTCTGATTCTTAGTTTAAAACTTGAAACACGGGAAAACACATTTGTTACAAATGTTATGTTTTTTGTTGTTGTTCTGTTATACTTTAATGTGAATTACTGTACATAAATCCATGGGCAGCATTTGTACAAGAACAGTTATTCTAATGTACACCAGGTTTGGGGGGTAGTGGGGCTTTAAATCGATGTGTCATGTTAACCAGAAATCATGTCTGCATTGCTTCAGTACACATTCTATAGGGCTTCCAACTCACTGGTCTCTGAGAACTCAAACATAGCCTTTTCAGATTCAGAGGATCTTTCAGCTCAGAAGACGCAGGACAGCGTTGCTTGACACAGTGCAAAAAGTGTTCTGTGTTTTTCATATTTAAATAAAATCCTGTAAAAAGTCCAAAAGATTTTTAAGTGATAAATTCATTCATCTTTCCATTCATTACTTGAACTAAGAAAAATGAGGAGCAAATTTTGCATTGAACCAAAATACTATAAAAGTCATCCTCTTCATCATCCTACAAGCCCTTCTGCTGAAATGCAGCAGTTATATTAATTATGAAGAATGAATTATGTTATGCATTGCTGTGCTGTTGTCATCACTGGAACATGTCATCATGTCTCTGAGAAACCCAGGTACACAAAAGCTTACACAGCTCATACAGTATTTCTAAGCACATCAGGTATGCCAGTGCACTCTGTTTCAAGTCTAGTTATGGGTATGACTTTAAAAAATGAGGTGAAGGTATTGCTATTGGAACAATTTTAGATAAGCACCCAAAAGATATGTCAGTTATTCAAGACAAGAATAGCATTTCAAAGGGTATTTTCTTGGCTTTGGTTATAATTTTCTTTTTTATTTTGCTGCTTTTTCTGGATCTTTTTCCAAGGCAGAATTTTGTCTTCTGGTGCATAGACATGCTCTTGTTAAAATGTGCCCATTTGTTGAAGACTATTGAAATAGTTCTGTTCATAGCACATAACCATGCCTCTGACAGCAGGAACTGCTAAAATAGGTAACATAAAAAGCCAGATCTTCTAGCACCACTGTGGCTTCAGCCCAGGGCTTGGGCCAGTCTCATAAAACATGTTAAGTGTCCACAGGAGTGCTCCTAGAGGTAATAAGGACAAAATAATATATTGAAGTCACCACCTTACTTAAAGGAAGAAATAGCAAGAAGTGCATCGGATATTTCAGATGCTCTATCAATCACATAAATGTGCAGACACATTCAGTGGTTTACAGACAGTGGGTTTATTACAGCAGGTCTGGTAAAATATTGCCCGTTTCTGCTTAAAAAAACATTTATTAAATATGGCTTCTGCAGAAATAAGTTCTCACAACATTCAAAGTCTTCCTCTAAGCTTTGGCCTGTTCACACTATAACCATTAATGAGGCGTTGAAAACTAGACTACCTAAGAGGTTGTTAAGAAGAAAGCATTTTTCAGCACAGCTTTTACCTCATTGTCAAGTTCATTTTTCAGTAATTGTATTACTAGAACATGTGAAAGTACTGCAGGGGACAGGTCTGAGAAAAAATATAAGACTGTTTTTGTCAAAGTACATTTGAAGGGGAAAATGACCTTTTTGATGGTCATAATGGTTAATTCTTAATGTTGGGCTTAATATTTATTCCTTTTAACTGAATGATAAAAAAACTAAAAAGGTGTTAGAGGAGTTACTTCTTCACTCGGACTGTGGAAGTGTCAGTAAGGATTGCAGCAGCCAGGTTTAATGCTGTCCTGAACACAACTGGAAACACCCACATGCTAATGGAACTTTTTTAATGCTAATATAGAACCTTGGGTCTGTGCTTCTCCCATAAATAATATTTTTACCATTATTTAGCATTTATTTCAGAGTTGCTTTTAGCCAAAACCACTTATATCTGTACACTTTTATACAGCAATGTACTGTAAGTGAAGTACCTCACTCAAGATTACAACTGGATCTCTCCCAGGATTTAAACTTGCACCTACTAATGATGAAATCCCAAAACCTAAAAAAGTTATAACAAATAGTATTGTTGCAAAGTGACAGTAATGAAATATATTTTGTCTGCTTTATGCACACAAATTTATGTGTATCACATTGTCAGAGAACACTACATTCACAGTGTAAATCAGACTGAAAAAACATTTTGTTCTGGGTTACAGGTAAAAGGCTATGCTATTGTTTAG